CCCTCCCCGCCTCGCCCGCGCCCTCCCCCTCCGCAGCCACCTTCCCGCCGCCTCCCCGCCCCCCGCGGCCTCGCCGAGCCTCTCCCTGCTTCCCCGGTGACACACCGAGTTCTCCCGCGACCTCACAAAAGAAACGCATCTGGCCTGCAAGTCCCGCGCGGCTCGTGCCCACCTCAGGCTCCAAGTGACTTGTTTCGCTCAGAGTCAGCTCTGGTCTGGGCCTCGAAGTCCCCAGCCCCGGCGCGCACAGCCCGGGATGAGTGAATGTTTGCTGAGCAGGATCGCGCGGAGCGGGCGCCTTCGAGCCAGCGCCAGGGCGGGGGCAGAGCCCGGGGCCCGTCCCGGCAGCTCCCCGCGGTGCCCTCGTCCAGGGGCCGTCCGCCCCTCCTTCCCCGGCCTCTTCTCCCGGGATCTCAGCCCAGCTGAGTGACAGCAGCTTGCGCTCTAATGGGCCCCCGAAAGCTGCCTCCTAATTAGCTTGGACCTTCTCCCCTAAGGCTGCTTCTCAGGCCTCCCTCTCTGCACCGCAGTCAATTTTCCGGGATTGGGATAGAAATGATGGCTTCTAATCAGACGAAACGTTTCTGTTGGCTCTAGGCGGCTGGTGAGTGCAGCGGAGACCCCCAAAGCCCAGCCAGGCCCCACAGTCTCTTCCACCTCTCGCCTTGTTTTGCACCTTCAGTGGCTGGGCTAAATCTGCCCGGCCCTGGCCTTGGCAGGCGTGGGATCGGCTTTGGCAACCTCTGCCCTCCTTCAGAGTAGCTTTGCCCCAGCCTGGGGCCTGTTCTCTGGCTTCCCAGGGCTTCAGGCGTAGGCCTGGTAGGCCAGGTGACTGCTGTCTCCCAGGCCTGGGCCGGCAGCCCAGAAAGCCTTGGGTCTTCTAGCTGCTCTCCCACACGGTGGTAGCTAAGCGGCAGCTCCAATGGGTCTTTGCTAGGCACAGGCAGACATTAGCCTCCCTCTCCCAAGAGTGATCCCCTCCTTCAGTGAAGTTTGTCCAAGGATTTTGCTCAACAATTAACTGGCCCTGAGACCTCAATGTCTTGAGCAAACAGGCCCCAGCTGAGGCGGTAAGGTGCGGCCCTGACCTGCTCCTCTGGCCACGGGCGGTCCCCAGGCTGCCCTCTGCCCCTCACCTGCCAACCAGCTCCGCCAAACACAGCAACCGGAGAGAGCAGTGCTGGGCAGGACAGCGGCCTTGGGGAGAAGCACTTCCCTACTCTCCAGCCCCAGCGCCCTTACCCCAGGGCCCAGTGCCTCCTCAGCTCCTCCTGGGGGGTCTCCGCTTGGTACTGACTGTGCAGGCATCAGCATCTGGGGCACTCCACAGGCTCTGCCTTTGAGTTCTCACCTTGCTCCCCTCCCATCAGAGGGAGACACCCAGGCCCCAGGCTGAGCTCCTTGGTGAGGATTGCAGGGCTGGGGCAGGCGTGCGGCTCATTCCCCCCACTTGGGCCCAGGGTGCCCAGCTCTGGGCCATGGAGAGAGGGCACAGTTCCTTAGGGCCTGGCCTACTCTCAACTGTGCGTCTGTGACCACAGGAGGCAGGGTCTGAGGCCCAGAGGGGATACACGTCCCAGAGTTTGGATCGAGGAGGCTCAGTTACTCCTGCCTTCTCCTTCCCAGTTGAGATCCCTGCTCCACGAAATTAGTCTTGGTCGGGGAGGGGGACATGGGGAAGTAGTTGCCTAGCATTTGCCCCAGCCACACCTCTCACTGCATTTCTTGGCTGGGTGTCCTGCAGCGCAGACACCTCCTTTCAAGGAGATCCTCAGGTGCTGCAGCATGCCAGGGAGCGCCCCTCACACACCGTCCTCCCTGTGGAGCTGTCCTGCCCCACGCAACAGCGTGGATGCAGACAGGGCATGGGGGCGCGCTCACACACACACTCCTGCACACACACACTGCACAGGTATGCTGTGTACACACAGACACACAGGTACTCGCTGTACCCACATATGGGAGTGTTGGGTACAGGCACATTTGTGCCATTTGGCATGAAAACTGGCAGGTAGGATATAGGAGATATGTTCTAAGCCCGCCAAATGTCAGGCCAAGGAGGGAAGCACCGTGCACCTCCAGGCAGGGACATGGACATGGGAATGAATGGTCTGTGTATGGGCGTCCAGAGAATGGTCTGCGTATGGGCGTCCAGAGGGTGGGATCACACCCCCCCCCCCCCCCCCCGCCACTTCTCAGAAGGCCCTAGGAGTCAGGTACTGCATGGATGGGGACTGTTTT